AATCAACCGGCAGTGTTTTTCCTAACTCACCACTCAAGGGATGCATGTGCAATGTGTGTTGGAACTGCTCAAACAAGAAGACGCCGTTACACATAACCTCAGTTAGTCGAATCCTAAGCCAGTAGACATTGCTTACATTCATCTGGGGAGGCAGAGTCGATGGTGTGGAAATTTTATGCGGTACAAATGCTCCCCACAATCTATTCAAATGGATCACAGTAAATAATAGCAAGCGCTGTTCAATTTCGAATGCGTCTGAAGACGCCGCTGTAGACTCCCATTAAATGGAACATGAAAGTCGTCAAAATTGATTCAGATCTGTATCCCTCATCGTAAGTCCGTGACTGAAAACACGTCTATCGAGGTTACCGATTGTGAGGTAAATACTCAAATGGACATCTTATTGAAATCCAATACACACCTTAGAGGGCGTCTAGGAATCGATATCCATCGCATTGATAACAGATCGACTTCGTCAATAACGTGCTCACCAAAATTATTATATCAGCCACGTCGCTTGCAGTTCAATCTTTTGCATACGCACACGGCGTATGCCAAACGAAACAAGGCTTTTGACCCATGTTGACCGCATTGTCAACAGTGACATACGATGAAGCGCAGTGAAACAATTTCGGTCGATCCAAGGCGAGTAGGTGAATCCCTATCATTATTGCTATGCGCCCGCATAGCATTTACCCTCTCCGTTTTAGCAAACACTCCACATCCAGTGTGCTCACTCGTTACCATAGTCGTTGTCTGAGTGATAAAGAAACTCTTGGATATTTCTTTAATAGTAATTCAAGACTGCAATCCAGTAAGTGGTTCACTAAGAAACGTAACACGGTATTGCTCCAACAAGAGACAATGTGGAGGTCCGCCTGCCTTTATTGGCTTAGCTCTAAAATGCGCCATAATCATACTCACGCTAAGGTCGACGGGATGTGAATAACCAGCTGTCAACCTGTAGACTAATTCGCCAACTTCGGTAGGTCTGGTAAAGTCTTTATACTTACCGGAAACTTTAAGTAAGCGGCGTAAACTTACGCCAATGAGGTCAATATTTACTCGTGAAACTACGTGATCGTCAGTCCGTTGACACTATTGTGTGAGAAGCGAATGTCTACCGTGATGTCCGCAAATCTTTGCTCAATGACTGCAGCAGCGCTAAGGGAGAAACACTGGGTACCAACAGTAAGATGTTGACGGCAATATTCTCTGGTGCTGAACCAGACCATCTTCTTTACCTGGATAGTCTATAATGACCAAAGCACATTAGTTGACAGAATGTAGACTGACTGTCTATGAGTATAGTAACTTCCCATACGAACCTGATCGACGACATCGGAAGCAAGTATGACAGCGTAGGCGATGATAATGCATGAAGAAATCTACTGGGGGGCTTGATTGGACAAGTGCGTCCAAATTCACAACTGGTGTCAACAGCCTTGGTTGCATCAAGAGCCAGAAATCTCGAACGGCAGGCAGAAGTTGAATGCTCAATGATACATTCACAACAGGTCTCTCGTTTGGCTGTTACCGATTTGTGGTCCATATCACATATTGTTCAATAATTATTTTTAAATTCCCTATCATTTTTCGTCATTCATGTCCACATACATTGGCGATGCAGCTAAGCATACTGCGCTTCAGTGCTCGGGTCATTATTGAATTGCTGAGCTGAACAGTAGTTACTTAGATCACTTACATCAGAGTGACGAGACTAGACCTTAAAGCGGTGAGATGGTTTGCGTGCCTAAGCGATCCATTTGGCTGTGCTGAGTGGTGCTATGGCATTTTCAGAGCCACTCATACCAGATTGACCAATAGCTAGATGCCTGATAAACTCAGTCTCCTGGCCCTCCAGATTGGGGGTTAGAGTGAGGGTTGCTCCTTATTCCTTAAGATGGACTGCTTGTAGCCCACTGCCAAATCTGTTGCTTTGTGGTCAGGTTTTTGTACCAAGGGCAATGGTTGAGAATCATAATCGTTCTCCTGTCTAGGCCTGGGCAAGCTGGCAGTATTTTGCCTACATAATACAGTGCATTTCTCTTCAAATACTTTCTTTGTTTCTCTGGCTGTCGCAGAGGATAATCAACTGCGCCCTATCTGCTCTGCTGAGCATAATGGATAGGGGTTCAGGTGCTACTGCTTAAGCCTTCTTGTCTTCGTATTACTCTTCCTGCGCTTTTTCCTCCTTATCGTCCCGTTCCAACTTCCCTTTTATGCACTTTGTTTTCAAGCCCCCAGTTCTTGAACTTCCCCCATCTTTGTTTAGTAATCGTTCGTCTTCTAATTTCGTCCCACACGCAGTCGCAGGGAGTCGCTCCGGTCCAATCGGTAACTTCATGTCCAGCCAAACGGACAACGTCGGTTCAGCTGCTTTTATTTGAAGACATCGGTCCCCCTAAGATTGGCATACCCCAACGTGCGCACTTTGTTGCAAACTGGCCAACTTGGGTCTCTACACAGTTTCTAGGACTTATGGATGCTCGCCGGCGTGTTCCGGCTGGAAGCGAATAAGATGAGACTCGCATAGCTCTCAGTGCTAAACTACGTGCCAGCCTGAAGAGAGACTGTGAAGCCTGGTGGTCTCATCGTGTTTCGGAGATGGAAACAGCCGCTGCCCTTCTTAACCATCGGAAGTTATTCACTTTGATCCCAGAAACGGGTAGCAGGGAAACTGGTGTTAGCGAGACCATATACGACGAGAGTGGACAGCCGATCCACAGCTTGTCAAAGCGCTTAGAGTGTTGGGCTGAACACTTTGAGAAGCAATTTAATCACTCCGAGTTGCCGGCTTTACCATCGGTCAATGAGCGCCCTACTCCCTGAGTCGTTCCCTTGGATGCACCTTCGCGCAAAGAAGTAGAATGTGAGATCAGACGGCTGAAATTGAACAAAGCCCCCAGAGCAGATGGACTTCATCCAGCGCTCTGCAAATTTAGGGAACCACTTCATTTTATCAATTTACATAACTAACTATTAACTCTATGGAGCAGGAAACTGTCCCGACAGACTAGAGCCACTCCGTTATAGTTCCGATTTTCAAGGGGGGATCCCGTCCCGAATGCGGCAGTCATAGTGGTTTCAGTATGATCTCAATTGCCTCTAAGTTACTTGAGTCTGTCGTCCTCCATAGGCTGACTAACACTCGTGGAAGCCAGATGCGCGAGGACTAAGCCAGGCTTCATCGAAATAGAGACTGCATAGATCACATCTTTACAGTACGTCAGTCGTTGGAGCATCGCCATGTTCATTGGCGACCCACCGTAGTCGTGTGCCTAGACATCAAAGGGGCCTGTGATTTGGTTGATCGGTGCGCCTTTTGGAACTGTCTACTCAGGCTAGGTGTGTCCGAGAAATATGTAAACATCATCCGAGCATTAGACGCGCGCAGCACAAAAAGTGTGACGGTTAAAGGTGAGTTGCCGCCGCCATCAATGTCTCCAGCGGTGTGAGATAAGGTCGCCTGCTGTTACCTTTCCTCTACAAGTTCACTATTGACGGAGTCATGGAAACGGCGTTCGCCGGGCACGACTTAGGTGTGGACCTGTATCTAGGTGAACGACTTATCGAGTTGGAGTATGCCGACGACATTGCGCTTGTCTGTGATAGCCTCCGAATGTGCCAAGTTACACTAGATAAATTAGCTCTGGCTGTCACTTTTTGGGCCATGCTTTGCACCATTTAAATACAAAGTTCTTCGCTAAGATTGGCAGGAACCCACACCTTCATTGACCCTTGGTAGTGATACTTTTGAAGTGGTGGAGCAATTCAACTATATGAGCAGCTATATCAGCGCTAGTAGAGCGCCAGATGAGAGCACGAACCGAATAGCAAAAGCTCGATGCACTTTTGATGATCTTCGCCATCTGTGGCGCCGGCGTGACATTACTCTCGCTTTGAAGGGCAGAGTTTACGATACAGCCGTCCGTTCAACCCTCCTGTACGATTGCGAAACTTGGCCCATCAAGTCGATCATCGCTGCCTTCGCAGCTTAGCTCATGTGTGGTGGGAGCACCGGATGAGCAATGAGCGTTTTCGTGCAGGAAAAGCTAGTGAACCGCTCAGCCCCATTATATCGCGCGCCAGGCTCCGATGGCTGGGCCACGTGTTGCGCATGCCAGCACACCGACTCCCGTGACGTGCGTTGTTTGCGCGCCGGAGGTGTGGATGGACAAAGAGGAGGGGAGGCCAAGAGGAATGAAGTCCCTTACTTCGAAGTTGGCGTCCGTTAGTGTTTCCCGACTGCATGGCCGGAGGCCGAAGGATAGTGAAAACGTTTGGTTGGAAATACTAGCTGAGATGGCGAACAGTCGACCTCAGTGGCGTTCGTGCTAGGAATTTTTTGTCCCTCCTAATCCCTTTTAGCCACTGCTTCCAACAATCATAACAAACGTGATATTAGCATCATGGCACTTTTTAAAGGTTTCAAGTCTACATTGCTTAATCCCTTACTTTTCTGTATTTCGGCACATTAGCTGAGGTGTGTTTTTCACATGTTTGATGATGATGAAGATGAGGATGACTGCAGTCAGTACTATGACTGAGTGCTGGCGTCGTGCTGTTAGGCTGACGGCTGTTTCTACTTGGGATGTTTTCGATAGTTTATAGGTTCAGCCTTTTACAACAACACATACACCAAACCAACGCCAAATATCATTTACTTCATCCCCACGGACTAGAAAAAATGCTTGCTTTTCTCAAGTTAATTACCTGTGACTTAATTCCACTCAGGTTACAATGGATGAAGTCGATCAAAGTTACTATAACCATCCAAGGTATTTGAAGAGTAAAAGCTTTCGATAGTTGTGTTTTGTGTGTCATTCGGGCAGTAAAATTGAAGGTGATGTAGCTGACTGTAGGTCATTGCAAAAGGAAGCTAAGAACCTCGCTGGGACTATGGAAGTATCTTACAGTGGAAAAGCGGGGACCAACTAGGTCCCACTGGATCCATGGAGTAATGGTTCGCTTTCGCCACCGACAATGCTTTCACTCACCTTGGAGTAAGCAGACTTGTATACATCTTCCAGTCTGTATGGGAGAGAGAGTAGCAAAAAATGAATTTACAAATCGCATATTTTAATCTATCGATTCACAGGGGACAACCAGTTGTCTGAGACTTCATGAACTACTGAAGGATTGACAAACTCCGTGTTGCACATTTGCAGTAACAGGGGCTACTGAAGATTACATGGCGTGTAACTGTTTATCTAAACGTAACTCTACCTCATCAATAGTAAGCTACCATGCATCAACCCAACCTTATTCAGTAAGTTATGGTAAACAAATGAGGTCAGGGAGCAGTGGTTCCACCAACTAGATTTCGAAGAAATCATACAGAGATGTATTAAGATGTAAAGGATTGCCACTATTGTTAGGGGTGGCCACATGATCCACTGAGGAGATAGTAAAGCACACACGCAACTGCAGATTTCGCATTCTTACTGTTCTTATCAAACTGCTGAAAAGAATCAACCTGTAATGCCTTTAATCCCAGGATAACCAACAATCGCCCAACGATTTCGTAACCCACGCCTTTCGCAGTTTGCACCATGACGAATCGCCCAGTAAGAGATATTGGCTACACGCAGCGCCCTCTTAGAATAGCTACTTGCACAATCTCCAAGCGATGTCGTCAAAATATTAGTGTATTAACCAATAATCAACTAACCAATCGGGATATCAGTAACGAGGAACAAATATTTCCAGTCACTAACTGCGCTTAGTCGATGAATCAGGGTATGGGTGATGTCGAAATTACAACACGTAATACACTGAAGCCTTTTCGCTTACAATGATTCAGATAAAAAGCAAAGTATTACGCAGTTATTTTTCAATGACACGAAAAAACCTGTTTTTCAGAGTGCACCAAGTCCTAGTAGATAAAGGTCCGAAAGACGGTAACAGATTCATCGGTTGTTCCCATCTTTAATGCACATGATCAAAAATGCGAATATCGCAGCTGTATTATATGACAAGGACGCTCAAGTGATTCACTTATTGGAGAACGAACAGCGCTATGGGACCGTTTCCTAGTCGGCACCTACCGGAATACTACTAACAAAGACCGTTGTGGTTTACCATTCAATTTCATGACAGTGACACTGCTATCTAGCACAAAGTTTTGTTTTTCATTAAATGGTATAAAGCCAAAGTCAATATACTGGGCACAGATTGGTCGAATGATAATCGTCTGTGGACATGGCACGTTATTGCGTTCAAACTCACCACGTGCTCGCATTTTCTGTTAGCTCACACTTTGCCCGGATTTACTCCCACAACTATAAGCACACACATATATGCCCACACCCATTCCATCCCTTGGATGTACCATGTCAGGATCCCGATTCATCACCACACTGTAGTTTTTGCACCATTCCAGCAGAAGCGCATGAGCGTAATTTTCTAACTCCTGAGACATACACAGACATTTGTGGTCTCAGACAAAAGCCAAATCTGATCTACATGTTGATGGGAGCGTCTTATCAGAGTGAACGTATGGATCAAACGAGCCGGCTGGACAACCGATGAGAGACGGGTAGAACGGATCCGATCTGTGGACACTGCCCGACGTTCGCATGAGTTACTCACCGTTTGTTTAAATGAGTAAAAGGTGGAACCTCATTGGCTCACAACTGTCGTTAGTTATGTAACTGAACAGACAACCTACGTTGAAGTGTTTGACTTGCTAAACAGGTTGTAACTTTCACTGACGAGTTTGGCGAATAGGCAGTTATCATTGAAGGACTGAGTTGTGCAACGTATAAAACGAGCCAGTAACCACAAAGGTTAACCTTCAAGTAAGAAGGCATGGGACACTTAGTGCTCTTTATTGCTCGATCACGTTGTTTACACCTTAGAGCCACTTTTGGGCGAATGATACAGTCGCTTAACCTACACCACAACGTCCAGTGACGCAGCGCCTCGTGCTACGTTCGCACTAAACTCAGAGCCGGCCAATTTAGCGTGCAGGAAGGCAGCCAAGTGCATTTGCCTTCAGCTGAAGTTAAGCACATCGCAAAGGATCCGACGAGCACCAACGAACAAGGACACGCTGGTGGGAAGGTTGCATCAGTCGATCAAAAGAAGCCACATTTTATGTTGCCAAAGGGAAAGAAGTCCGTAGTTGGTTCCGTAAAAATACTCACAACAGTAATCATATGCGCAATTTGCGTTAGATGTTTCTATCCGAATTGTGCTAAACACTCATCATGTGGGGCCAGGTTGTATAGTAGCAGAACAGACACAGTCAGATGTTGTGCAGTATGCAAAGCTATCCCACTAGTCAAGATTACACCCGAACAATCTCAGAAACACGAAAGACTGGTACCAAGGATTGAGCAGAGAGCAAACGCTAAAATCACTATAACAGGAGAAAACGTACTGAAGGAAGAGCCCTCGTCGTCCCCAATAAACAATGCTTCAAGCCTGAGGAAAGAGACTGAATAGTCCGCTACATAGCGTCAGCTGTAGATTTAAATGTTAGCCAACGTGTATATACTACCAGTGGCGCAGATATGTTGAAACACGCACCTCCAAGCAGCGGGGCAGTCGATCACAACCCAGGCTGCACAAATGGTACTTAAGTCACATAATGCAAAGATAGTCATCAGCTCCAATGTTGTCGAATAGAGGTCAAATTGGTTATAAGGATAGCAACCTGCTATAATCGCAGTTAATGGGACTCAAAATCGTCAGAATAAAGACGTTCACCGCACCGGACAGTCTGTTGACCAGAGGTCAAGTCACATGAAGCAGACAGGACAACCGACAATATAACGCAAAATGAGAGGGTGTCAGGCAGACAGTCTCTCATAGTCCGCGGCCTCATGCATATGAACTAGAGTAGAGCAGTGGGTGACAGTAAAGTTCAAGGTCAGACGTGTAGTACGACTTCGCACTTATAAGGCAGCGGATCGCAAAGCGCAACATCTCCTCTGGAAACACCTTCTCCAGACTCATATGAATGAAGTTAACCTGTAAACGTCGGATCGGTTGAGTTATCCGCATGGATCTCCGAGCGTATCCATGGCATAGCTCTGTGTGCGTTTGCGTCGGCATACAGCTCCACAGATTTTGGCAGTTCAAATGTATCCAGCAGTAAGTCGAGTGGCACTTCAAAGTATAAGTAATTGTATGTTCGATCTGCCGTTTGCGTAACTGATTTACGTGCCGAACGGAAGGCAACAGTGCAATAGACACCTCTCACAACACAGTGTCTATCCTTTTTCGTACCACTACAGATTGCTAAGTTTGATGATTCGACCTTGTATCCAACAAGTACACCGGCTCCCCTGGTAGAAAACTTCTGCTGACGCCCGATGCGAATGGTCGGTGCATAATCTTAGGGCGTACCGCATCAATTGAAAGACGTAGATCTCGCACAAACATGGCTTCCGCTAGGGATATGCCGCCTGGTACAGCGGTGTCGAGCGTAGCCCGATAGCTCTCCTTTGTCGGCCCTTCCCCCGCAGTTTTAGCAGTGAACATTTAAAGGCATCCACAAATATTTCTGCTTGCACACTGGACTGGGGATGCCCCGTAGGCAATCGGCACTGTTTGATGCCATTACGCTGAGAGAAAACACCAAATTCATCGGAGATAAATTGTGAGTCGTTATCGGAAACAAGGTGTTGGGTGCACCGAACTGTGCAAATGACTGTTTTAGTCTTCGTACTGTGGCCGCTGTCGTGTTTATGTTCTTCAAGTATACGTCCAACCACTTGGTATACGCGTCGACCACAATTAAAAAGTACTGGCCCTGCATTGAACCAACGAAATCAACGTGAATTCTCTCCCAAGGGTTGGAGGTTGGCATCTAGTGTTGGAGGATTTTGTTTGGAAATTTCGCTGCTGATGCACAACCGCTACATGTGGCGACACTACCATGGATAGCGTTGTCAATAAAAGGCCAGTATACGCAAATAGAGCTTTCATCCGTGATATTCTGTGGTGATGTAGGTGCAAAGATCTTAATACCCTTACCTGCAGGGAGTTCGGAACAACCATGCGCTCACCGAATCTAACGGAATCATCAACCAGTGCTAACAAGTCACGTCCATAAGAAAATTGTTGTAGGAATGTGTCAGTAATACGGTTTAGCCACTCTGTTTGAAAAAGGAATAAGGTTTTGCAAAAGAGGGTGGAGTTTTGTGTGTTCCTAAATGTCCACAGAAGTAATCGGAAGAGCTCTGATTGAATTAAACAGAAGCCGTTGCAAACGCAAATGACGCAACCACCTGGTCTTCTTCTATGTACAGCTGTTTTGCGATAAGTCGAGGCGGCGCACCGGGGTGGTTGAAATCTACCGTAGTTATTGTGACGGCGTCGGCCAAGGTTGGAGGCGATTCGAAGTGTACTCAGGCATACCCTTCTTTGAACCGAAAATGGCTAATAATGGTTTATGGTCAGTCGCCAATTGAACTTTCAACCCTGCAACATCCGACGAAAGTTTTTAACAGCATAAGCTAAAGCTAGTGTCTCTTTCTCCATCTGTAAGTAGTTTCCATCAGACTTGGTTAGGTTACTTGATGCGTAAGCAACCGAACAGACAGATCTTCATTGTGGAAAACTGTGAAATCAGTAGAAGTCAGAATTTTCCGGAGACTATCAATATTTGAAGATGGACAATCTCATCACTTCACAGTTTTAAAGGGCTTATTGGCCAACGAACTGGAATGAGTCTTACCATGGACGAGGAGGCACACTTTTATGATACAGTGATCTGAGTTAACGAGTGGGGCCCGTTTTTGTGCGGAAAACAGCCTGACATGATTTGTGAAGATGAAATCTAGTTGCGCTTCAAATCTGCTCGGAAAGGACAGTAGTTAGTCAAAGCAAGAGTGTGAACCAATGTGGTATCAATTTATTGAATATCCCGTGAATGACACAAACTGTGCGGTCCACCTTAGGTAGTATCGCCGAGGACAGCTCATCAGCCAAATTTTAAACTCTGATGCTTGTGTGTTGGGGAATCCGTATACATTCCCAATATTAACAGAAGAAAATCACTCAAAAAATTTAGCTTAAAT